GAAATACAGTTTGTACCATTCTTAGGTATGCAAAGTTGTGTGAGAGTCTACAACTCTCCCAGAAACCAGTGAGTCTGGGAAAACTGGGTTTTGCCACATCTGAGGGAAGGCAGGCTATCTGGGGAAGGGGTCTTGGGTTATAATAACTGCCATGCCACGGACAGTACATGTCCTTTGTGGAAGGGTTTTGTTGCAATAGGGCCAAGGAACGCTTCAAAAATCGCACCACGCAACAGACCCCACACCAGAGATTTATTGGGGAGATGTGTGTGTGTACATGATGGCCGCCTCTGAACAGGGATGGAGAAATGCGAGGAACTAGGCCATGGTGGAGGGCCTTATGGGGGTATGGAGCACGCACATAGGGAAAATACACAGCGGCGAAGATGTTTAGGGGCTGTAGGCACTGAGTTGTTGAAGGCAAGGAGGGATTTCATCTTCTGTTTTAATCTCTCTCTATTCATCATCTTCCATTTTTAATCTCTATATATGATCTTCATTTTAATCTCTATACATCATCATCCTTTTTAAGGCCTAACCGCTTCAACTAAACTAGAAAATTTACTGATGAGCCCAGAAAACTGTTCTCACTATAAAGTAGTATTGCTTGGGGGAAATCTGGTCCCTCAAAACAAGTGTCGTGGAAACTTTCTTAGCACAGATAAGCCATTACCCCCGAGTTGGTACAAATTCACAACTAGCCAGGCAGCAAGGATAGATGGGGTTGGAGCAGGAGAATGCTGGGGAGAGAGGCAGAGAGCCCAGGAGACGCCGTGGTGTTGAAGGAGGAACATGCTGGATTATGGGTAAACCACAGTCTCATGGCAATACATAGATGAATAGAAATGGGTTAATAATTAAGACAGAGCTAGCCAGTAAGAAGCCGTAGCCATCGGCCAACAGTTTTATAATTAATCTAGCGTCTCTGTATTTTGGGGAGGGGGGGTAAGTGATTGTGGGACCAGCCAGGACAGAAACCTCCATCTTCATTCACCACCTGTACAGAATTGCCCCATGTCCTCAGCCATGCTGTCCCCTCTGTTATAACAAATACCCACAAAGAGTAAGGAAAAGGTAGTAGAAACATGAGCAGGGGTGTGAGGACCAAACCTGCTTCGCTGACTGCCTCTTTAGCGGCCATAATTACCAGCCAGCCGCCCTTTTCCATTGTATTGCTATGACTTCATCTCTCTGTGTAGTCTTCATTTTGTCAGTCCATTTCACACCACAGAATAAACTGACTGCTGACCTGCGTGGTAGCTGAAGGCACTTTATGTTTGAAGAGTCCATTTAAGGCTGAAGCAGGGGAAAGAATTAGAGGAGAGATTGATTGTCGATGGGCTTTTTGCAATCCCCGCTTTCCTAAAGCCGGACATTTCTCTCTCTCAGCTCCTGTTAACCTTTATTTAGAACCAAATAAATCACTCGGTTCAAAATTTATGCTCTACGCTAAGGTCTGCTAGTAAGAACTTGTCTTTCCACCAGATGTCGTTATTCAGTGTGTGAGAGCAGCACCCTCAAATAACCCTGTCTTACTGGGTGGCCTCTCAATGCCCCCATGTCCTCGGTGGGTTGATTGGGTAGCAGGGTCTGTGGTCACCCAGCTCATCTCTGCCCACCTGTCCCAGACATGTGACTCACCTTCTCTGTTGGCTTCTACTCGTCTTGCAGTAGGGTCAAGTAAATGGTGTAGATTACAGGTTTCTGTTTTGTTTTGTTTGGAACCGGGTCTCTGTAGCTTTGGAGCCTGTCCTGGAACTCACTCTGTAGACCAGGCTGGCCTTGAACTCACAGAGATCTACCCTCCTCTGCCTCCCGGGTGCTGGGATCAAAGGTATGTGCCACCACCATCCATTGATTTTGGATTTTTTTATTATTCTTGCTGAACTCCCCAGTCTGCTACCTGTAAGGAGTACGGTTTTTCTTGCCTGCCGCTGCTGGTCTTGTCCCAGCCCCAAATAATGCACAGAGACTCTGTATTTGATACAATGTTATTGGCCAGGTACTAGTTTCTTATTGGCTAGCTCTGCCTTAGTTATTAACCCATTTGTGTTAATCTATGTATGTCCACGTGTTCTTCTTACCGGAGCCGGCTGCCGCATACTGCTCTCTCCAGACTCTCCATCTTGACTCCCCTTCCTACTTCCTATTTCCTCCTTGTCTCTTAGTCCCTCCTATCTTCTTTTCCTATTGGCCAACAGTGCTTTATTATTAACCAGTATGAGAAACATATATACATAATGGCATCTCCCATCAGCTACCACTTTATGTATTTACACACACACACACACACACACACACACACACACACACACACACACACACGGGTTATTCCTAAGGCCCTAACATGCCCTTAATGAGGACATCATGCCTTCTGGAGCACTGGGGTAGAGAGAGACATTGAAAATGTGATGTTCAGTGTTTTTCTTCTTCTAGGCAAGGGCATGCAGAAATGGCTCCCAGAGTAGCAGAAACCGGAAGGGCAGCAACTCGTGATGACAATGGGTATTAGGGTTTGCTGGCCACTTCTGGAGGGGATCAACTGCCTTATGTCTGGGAACCAGGAACTAGACAGAGAGGTGTGGATAGCAACGCAGACAGTGTATGCAAAGAAGACATACTTCCAAGAAAGGAATCAGGCTGGGGCAGGGGGAAAGGTCGTGGTCTCCAATGACTGCCATGCAGAGCAGGGGTTTTTATAATCGGCTTTTGAGCTTATTTGCATACTGTGGGCTTTCTTGGGCTTGGTATTCTACATGTAATTCAACTTAGAACTTCATGCATCACATGTCCCTTTGGCATTTTAAATCTTTACCCAGGAGTGTGTGTTTTAGTATTATAATGAGCCATAGGTCACCTTCGGACACACTGGAGTGTCTCTGTGTATATGAGCCTGCGCCAGGGATTTACATGGCAGAGGGTAGGGGATTTCTACTCTTCCTGGTTGGGTTCTTTCGTATCGAATTTTGCAGGCTTTGCTCAAGGCCTTCCAGACTTCACTCTCTGCCCTTTCCTGCCTCACATGAGTGCTGCTGGGAGAGCTGGAGACTGTTTTTTGCCCCCTTTCATCTCCTGCCCAGCTGGCAAACTCCTGTGTTCATATTCCCCCCCCCCCCCCCCGGAATTCTAGAAGCACCGGGGTGGGTCCAGAAGCCTCAGGCATAAGTAAAGTGTGCACCTATGGGAGATTTAATCACGTTTTCCTACCTGGTGCTGGAGAACTCTTGTCTGTTGCACAGCTTCAGAGACATGGCAGCATGTTCTACCCTGTTCTGAGTGGGAAAACGAAAGAATGGGTAAGGAATGGCATAGAGTTGGGCCTCACGAGACACAGGCTTGTTCGGGCAGGGCTGGGTACTTGAGAAAAGACAGACAGGGAGAACGTTAAGGACTATGCTCACTGACACAAATCTTGGGGACATAGCCCCTGGTTTATTCCCCCGTAGATGAAAAGGCCACAGCAAAGAGACTCTGAACTTTCCAGTTTGTTTTCCACTCTGGAGGGAAAAGTCAAAGTTTAAAACATGTTTTTAATCCTTAAAGGAACCTGGGGCATCCCTCTGTTTTATTTGTTGTCAACTTGACCCTCGACAAAGTCTGGATCGAGACCTTAGTTATGAACATGGAACCAATGTGCTTAAATACTAGACATAGGAATGAATCTCAACATGGCCTCTGAGCCATCTCTTTCTCTGGAGGCTCTCAATTCAGAACTAGCCCCACCTGTTTGTGTACACATTCTGGGTCAGCAGAGACTTTGGGGCATTGGTAAGATTCAGTGTTTGTCCAGGCGCAAGAGCATCTTACCCAATGGCCTCTACCACATTTAGTGACAGTGCACAAATAGCACAACCTCTGTCCCTTGACATTTGGGTGAGCAAGCTAAGTAGAAAATGTTGCAGCTTCATGTAACAAACAAGCCCTGAAGAGCCCTCAGCAAAACTGAAAACGAAAGGCCAGTTGTTCATGGCCAGCACCCACTCCAGCAGCATCCGCTGCCTTCTTTTCCATCCTACCTGGCCATTCCAGGCCGCCAATGGATTTTCTATTCCCAGAACAGTTACAGTGTTACTATTCTGTTGTCCTTTGCTCCTCGCCTCCAATGCACAGGACAGAACTGAGGGTCTCAGAACCAGAGAAAGGAACCCTGCAGTGTGAAATGCATACCCCCTTCGGATTCTCTTTTCCTGTTGTTCCCAGGACAGGCTTTTGAAGCATAAGATAAACCAACCCTTTCTCTCTTGCAAAATGTGAAATGATTGCTTTTAATGCGACAACTCCACAAATTGACTTTACGCACTCTGCTTTTGCTTCTCTGGTTACTTACATCCCAAATGAGTCTCAAAACCAGAATGAAACGCAGAGAGATGGGACTGTGAGGAGGGACTACCATTAAAGCAGGGGCCACCAAAGACGCCTCAAGACATTCTAGAGTAGTGTCTCCAGTAAGCCTAGCATTCCGCAACACATCTCTCTGCCTGTTACAATTCCGTTATTAGCTGTTTGAAACCAAGCTCGTGGTCTCATTGAGAAGAGCTGTGCTTAACTTTAGTGTCTGGTTGACACAGCATCCATGCATGTTTCGGGATCTGAAATAGCCACTGTTTGTGGGTCGGATTGTTATTTTAGGCTTCGTACATATTAATGTTTATATTCTAATTTTTATTTTATTTTCTGTGCATTGGTGTTTTGCTTGCATGTGTGTCTGTGTGAGGGTCACTGGTCCCCTAGAACTAGAGTTACAGACAACTGAAGTTGTGAGCCATGTGGGTGTTGGGAATTGAACCCTGGACCTCTGGAAGAGAAGCCAGCGCTCTTAACCACTGAGTCATCTCTCCAGCCCATGTTTATACTTTGAGAAAACTTTAGAATGCCCACTCATTAATGGACATTTATGTTTGCCTTTTATCTTACCAGTGTTTTGAATTAACTAGCCATGTTTTATTTCACTAAATGCTTTAGTGATATCTTGCCCTGTTTGTCTTTGCTCACACTTTTAGCACAAACATACTTCTGGATGATGAGTTCCAGCCCAAACTAACTGATTTTGCCATGGCATGCTTCCGACCCCACCTAGAACATCAGAGTGCTACCATACACATGACTGGCAGTGGCAGGAAACATCTATGGTACATGCCTGAAGAATACATCAGACAGGGAAGACTTTCCATTAAAACCGATGTCTACAGCTTTGGAATTGTGAGTGTCACCTACTGGGCTAGCTAAGGAAGAGAATTCACTGCCAAGATGATGCTAAATGCTCAGAGAAGTGGTTCTCAACCTGTGGGTCGCAACCCCTCTGGAGTCAAACGACCCTTTCACAGGGTTACATATCAGATACCCCGCACGTTCAATATTTACATCATGATTCATAACAGTAGCAACGTTACAATCATGAAGTAGCAACAAAATAATTTTATGGCGGGGGGTGGGGTGGGGTGGCGGTCAACACAACATGAGGAACTGTATTAAAGGGTCACAGCCTTAGGAAGGTTGACAGCCAGTGGCTTGGAGAAAACATTTTAAGAGTTTTAACTTTTATACCTATTGATTTTCTGTTACCATTCCAATACATGAATTTCCCCTAATCTATGAAGTAATAAAATACAAGAGCATTAATCCGAATGAAATCCATTGCCGTGTTCATACTGTGCATGTTCTCAGCCTGCGTGGCTGACTTTGTGTGTGTCCCTTACAGGTGATCATGGAAGTTTTGACAGGCTGTAAAGTGGTGCTGGACGACCCCAGACATGTTCAGCTGGTAAGAACTGCTCTCTCGCCGGCACCGTTTGCCAATTAGCTGTCTGATGGTGTTCCAAGAAATAAGTGTGTCTTCTCCTCGTCCTAGCGGGATCTCCTCGTGGAACTGATGGAGAACAGAGACCTCAATTCGTGTCTCTCGTTTCTAGACCGGAAAATACACCCCTGTCCTAGAAACTTCTCTGCCAAGCTCTTCTCTCTGGCGGGACAGTGTGCGGCAACTCGGGCAAAATTAAGACCTACAATGGATGAGGTAAGGTATGCAAGGTTTTATTTAAAAAAATGAGCCGTGGAAAATCCAATAAAAAGTAGTTAGAAGGTGGTATTTTATTCAACACCTGTTAACCTATCTGGCCCATTAGAAAGCATACATTTGCTTTCTGTGTTTTAAAAATATATTGATTTGTCATATATGCAATGTATTCATGTATAACCCAATACTAATGCCCATGTTGTGTATTTTGGGGATACACAGCAGTCAAGGCGTGGTGACTGTTCCAAGCTTGAATAGACACGATTCTTTGACCCGGTAGACAGGTGTGATGACAGTCAGAATCCTAGGATGACTGGAAGGGTAGAGTCAGAACAGAGTGAGGTCAGCAGTCTGGGGCAACCAGGTCTTTGCTGAGGGCAACAGTTAGCTGTGGTTGAGCGTAGACAGCAGGATGGATGGCAGGACATCCTCTCAAGAGACACTCAGAGGTCATCACCCTTAGCGGTAAGACTCTGGGCAGCCCAGCACCATGGAAGTGAGATGACGTAAAGGAGAGCTAGTGTGTTTAAAACTGCAAACAGAAGCTTCTAGGTGATACGGGGGCATTTATTCTATTCTCGGAGTTGGGTTTTATCCCAACTCTGCTGTAGAGATGTGGGAGATGTAAGAACCTGGCCTGGGACCCAGGGAAACAGAGGAGGCCTGACATGGCTCTCAGTGTAGAACCCTGACCCACCAGCAGTGTTGTAGGACAAACTTGAGATCCAGGATGAGGGTACAGCATCAAAGCTTTGCCTTTCTAGATAGTTGTATGGATTTCCCTTTGCTCCTCAGCTTTACCATAAAACCAGAATAATGCCATTTGTGGAGATGAAATATATAAAGAAACAAACACTTGGTAAATGCTGGAGATATCCATAATTTTAGGGAGAGGGAGAATGAGGATGAATATATTAGGTCATTGGTTTGCAAATCTAGCTGCATGTTCAAATCCTGTATGAAGCTGTTTAAATACCCTGGGTTCTCCCCCAACACACACACATTTTAGTGACCTTCTCTTGGTTGGGGATAAGAGATTCATATTTTTAGACCCTCTTCGATCCCGGCATTTGGGAACTAGAGGTCATGTCGCTGTTGAAGTACTCTGTGAGAATCCTTATTTTAATGTGGTCGAAAATGCAGGAAGACTCTGACAGCCAGAGTGAGGTGGTGGCCAGTTCATGTCTGAGGTCAGCTGTCTTGTGTGTCCTTTCTTTCACACCTTCTTTCAAGTCACTTGATGTGCCTCTCGAAATAAAGGAGCCTCACCACTATCTGATGTCCTTTCTAATGCAAAATTCTGGGTTTGTGCTAGATTTCTTTCTTTTTTTTTAATTTTACTTATTTAATTTCCTAACTATGAAAACGAGAGAATTTCTTTACTAGGCACAGAGGAAACCATCAAAGCGAGTGTCACTCAAGCTTCCCTTCACGTTTCTTTCCTTGCCAATCAGGTCCTGAACGCTCTGGAGAGCATGCAGTCCAGCTTGTATTTTGCAGAAGACCCCCCCACATCTCTGAAGTCCTTCAGATGTCCTTCACCTCTGTTCTTGGACAACATTCCAAGTATCCCAGTAGAAGATGATGAAAACCAGAGTAATCACGCAGTGCCTCAGGAAGAGGTTTTGAGGACAGACAGAGTGCCGCGGAAAATCCCCTTTGAGTGCAGTCAGTCTGAGGTTACCTTTCTGGGCTTGGACAGAAACTCAGGGGGCGATAGAAGTGAAGCTGCTTGCCATGTCCCCAGTTACTCTTGTGAAGAATGTTGGACCCCGCAGCCTGGAGCAGCATCCCAGGACTTAAGACCTACTGAGGTCACATTGGGCTCCTCTTGGGAAGTGCCAGGCCATTCTTGTGGAGGCAAGCCAGTGGAGAAGAGGTGCCCTCTGGACTCTTCTGCAGTGAGTACGAACAATCCGAAAAGCACCAGAAGATGAAGAAAATTAAAAAAAAAAAGCAAATGTCGCTGAAGGCACCTGGACGAAGAATGTCACCATGAAAGAACACACAAGGCCAGGGGAACTACTGATGCGAGTTTGTATAGCACAACAGCAGCCAGGGAGTTCTGTTCCTTCCTTTCCATTCGCCCAAGCAGAACGACTCAAGGAAATGTGTTATCGAGGGATGTAGGTGGACTTGGCTGTCCTGCCAGCCACTCCCAAACAACCACACGGAGACTTAATATTGATTATGAATGCTTGGCCAATGGCTCAGGCCTGTTGCTGGCTAACTCTCACATTTTAAAATTAACCTATATTTCTTATCTACCTTCTGCCATGTGGGGTACCTTCTTTCAACGTCGCACATCCACCTTGCTTCTCTCTGCGTCTGCTCGAGACTCCCTTCTTCTTCCCATCATCCTCTGAGTCTGGCTGTCCTGCCTATACTGCCTGCCTAGCTACCTGCCAGTCAGTTCTTTTATTAAACCAATCAGAAGGCGCCTTGTCAAAGACACATCTTCATGGTGTACAAAAACAAATTATACCGCATAACAGGGTGACTGCCTCTCAGTCATACTCAAGCTAAATTAGAGCCATTCAGAGTTATCCAAGACCCTGGGTTCTGACAATCAGAGCCAAATGAAGAATGGCAGGATCCTCAAGTCTCTATTACCACCCCACTGAGTCTTCAGTTGGTAAGCCGAGAACCACCCACATCCCAGAACGAGGCACTATCCCCTCTACCAGCCCATCCTCAAGGACTCAATGCCAGAAGCCATGTCATTACCAGCTCCAAATGCAACACATTTCCACTGTCACCTCTAGTGGCAAGTTCTCCCAAAGCCCATGCTCCATATCCTTTATAAAGCCCTAGCCTTCATGGTCTGTTCCTTTTTTTTCCATCCTCAGAGGTAGCCTTTTGTATTGCCCCCCATCTCCTCCCACCCACCAAATCTCTTACATGAGACCTGTTGCATGGTGTGCCTTTGTGGCATGCCATGGTCTTCCCATCACTACGAAAAACAAACACCAAAACTATCAGTGCTCATCCTTATAATAAGACCAGTCCATTGGATCCCGTTGGCTTCCCTTGGTCACAGGAATTGCTGGAAACGCTGTAGGAAATGTCTAATTTATAAATACTAATGGATGCATTTTCAAAGAGCTGTCTTTTCACAGTGATTGGCAGTTCCTAATCTTTTGTTCACCACTGGTTAACCTGCCTGCCTGGAAGGGAGTGGAGTTCACTCTTGCTCAGTCATGTTCTGTAGAGAGAGTAAATTCCTCCAGTCAAAAGCCTGCATCCATGTATCTAAACTCTTAGGAGAGTTTCTCATGATAATCCAATTGTTATAGAAATCACATTTAAAAATTACAGTATGTTGTTGTTTTACTAACTCCAAGACCAGCTACATCCTCAGTAGAATGTGCAAAATTTTTTATCAAGTCATTTTGGGTCCTGGGGAAAGAACTGACCCCAAGACACTGGGTAGCCTCTTTCAGGATAACTTTTCTTCCTGTTGCTCCTGGAAGCCCCCTTTAAACACCTAGCTCAAGTGTGGGTTCTACAAAGCAACCCTTCCCTTGTCCCCCAACTCCTCTGACTCTCCTCCGCCACCAGCACACCTTCAGCCTCTCTAATCCACAAGCAGAGAGGACTCACTGCATAAACTCCCTCAGCAATTGTTGCTCACTCAGAATGAGTTAGGGGTTTAGGGTTAGGGTTAGGATTTTTGTGACTAAGCGGTAGTTGATTTTGTCAGAACCCTTTAATGCACTTCATTAAGACCTGTGCTGGCCTTAATGATGGGTATCATCATTAAGTTTTACTAACAGCTAAGTGAGAAGATCTTCCAACATAGAGTTATCCATTCCTCAGACTTGTTCTCCGCTATCCATTCCCTGTTGTCATAAAATTTTTAATTTGCTAGATTTAGTAAATTGTAGGCTGAAGTTATCAGCGGGAAATACAGTTTGTAACAGTGCAGGCAGGCTGGGGGTTCGTACTGTGCTTCTGCGCTGCAGGTAGTATGAGGTTTGGAAAGATGCTGATGTAGCTGATGGAGACAGACAGTGGGACATTAACTACACAGGGAAGATGCAAGCTAAACTCCCAGGAAAATAACCAGCTCTAAGGAGCTGTCTGGAGGGACCATTTTGTGGACATAAGTGACCCAGGATGTGTATGACCAAGGCTCTTCCTAGCTAAGAGATAAATGCTTTCTAGTTTTAGAGGGTGTAACACGGCCAAAAATTATATGGTTTCAATAGCAAATTAATGTGGTACTGCAACTTTGTAAAAGGGGAAAGATTTATAGGATCTCAAGAGAAACGAGTATGTCATTGCAACTTTGTAACAGTGTAGTATGTCATTGCAACTTTGTAACAGTATAGTGTGGAAGGGAAATATCCACTAAGATGTCCTCAGGAGAGGAATTGGGAGAACGGAATTCATAAATACCATGTAAGTGGAACCAGTTCCAATAGTGTGTCAAGTCAGGGAATGAATAAATCATCTCTTGGTAATCCTGCTACTGATGATAATTGCATGTCATTCTGAAAGTGGACAGCTAATTACAGTGGGACCTGCCAGGCTATCAGACACCAAATCTTGTCATGTTTCTCTTTTATGATTCTGACTTAAGACTTTTAAAAAGAGCTGCACCAACTTCAGCCTAGAGTAAATAGTAAACTCTGACCTTTGACGGCTTCCATCTTAGTTTGCGACAGGGAGTGGCTATGGAGCCAGTATGCCTGCTTATATTAATTCCCTGCTGACAGTGGTGAGGCTGTTGACTGAGGCAGGAGGCAGAGCAACCGTCGGCATTTTCATCATGCGTTTGTCGAGCACTTTGAAGACAGGAAAATAATTTATGTGTTTACGAATGGCCTATACCGTCGATTAAAAAGCATTTCCCGAATAAAAAGTAATCACAGTATTTTAAAAGGCCTCTGCACCTTTCTCCTTACCCCACATCCTAGCACTATCATTCCGGGGTTAATAATCATTTGAATGGACTAAATAGCACCACGCATTGCCTCATGGTTAAAGGGTCTCACTGAGGACCCATAGTAATGGTTAAAGGGTCTCACTGAGGACCTACGGGCCCTCCCCCTCCTGTTCTAAGTTTCTCTTTGCCTGAGTTGAGCTTTGCATTTGTGTGTGCCTCCTAAGGAAACAGAACACCTTCAGTATTCCAGACAGGAAGTATGAACTTGCCCTGGAATTAATGATGACTCCGGGAGCCATTTCCACTTTTAGGGATGAAGGAGAAAACGCAGAGCTAAGATCCACGGACTACTTTGTTACTGCAAACCTGCTGCTGATGCTTCCAAAGATTTCTTCTGAGGAGGGAGCAAGAGTTGACCTGATTTTTTTTTTTTTAAATGTGGCTGCTGTCACTGTTAGGGCTTGTCTTGAAGTAGAAAGAGAGAAGGGATCTCCTTCTTCTCCACGTTCTTAAAGAGAAGTTGGCTGACAGGTTCATGGCAGAAATAGAATTCTTCCCTAAACTATGAAAGAAAACAGTAACAAGAATGATTGGAGTTGTGGTGTCTTGCCTTGACCCTGGGAAAAGACCATAGCCTAATTCAATTATAATTAAAGGATTTATTGATTCGCTGCCAGCAGGATGACAACCTTAAAGCTGAATCTCAGGCATGTTGTGAAGGAGGAATACGAGAAGGGTTTTCCAGAAGGCGAAAACCACAAGAAGACCTTCAGGGTCTACACAAGCAAACAAAACCTGCTCTTTTCTGCCAAGTTAAGTGGTCAAGGTGACCCAACATAATACTTCTGTGTCTCCATAAGCAAGTTACAGAAGCCAGAAAAGCGGCTAGTCATATAATAACAAATAGATGTCACAGTTGTGCATTTCTGGGTGTAGATCACCGAGTCAGGTCACTGGGAACTTATCTTCCAGGCTGGGAGTCAGAGATAAACAGCAAGGGGGGGGGTACCAAGATGGATGCTTAGCATAAAATACTGTTTCTTTAGTCACCACATTCCACACTGGCTCTAAATCATGTGAATCTAATCACTGGCTGACATTTATGCGTATCGTCTGGGATCCAGAAGTAGTGACAATGATCTTCCAGTGAGAGTGAGAACAAGTAGGCAAGGGACAGGCGCTCCCTTCTGACGGGGGACGTCCTTCTGTATATGTGTTTCTCTTATTGGTTCATTAATAAAACACTGGCCAATAGCCAGGTAGGAAACATGGGGGGGGGGCTACCAGACCAGGAGAAGGCTGGGAAGAGGAAGGAAGAGAGGCCGCCAAGAGTCGTCAAGTAGCGGAGGGAGGAAAGGGCAACAGGTCAAGACCTTCTCTGGTAAGATGAGACCACATGGAAATACTTAGATTATTAGAAATGGTTAATAATGAAAAGAGAGCTAGCCATTAAGAAGCCCTAGCCATTGGCATGTCATTTGTATGGTCTGCCACCAGAAGGTGTGGCCCAGGTTTAAAAAGGGAGTGTCTTCCAGATTTAGGATGGGTCTCCCCACCTGGAACAAACCAATCAAGAAAATCCCTCACAGATATATATAATCAACAGCTTGGGTTTATTTATTTCCAGATGTAGCAAAGTTTGAGACCAAGAACAGCTGTCACACGGGCCAACAGACAAATCCTGCCCTTTAACTATTCAGCATTCTTTCTTGCTTGCCTAGCATCTATTTAAACTGCCAGGACCAGTAGGTGACAGTGTGAAGCAAACACACTTGGAATGAGGAAGAGGCTGCCATTCTCTTAATTAATGACATGGGGCTGGAGATGCGGCTCAGTGGATAAAACATCTGCAAGCCCGAAGACTGGGGTTTTGATCCCAGAACCCATAAAAATGCTCGAAAGCCAGGCTGGCATGCTGGCCTCCCAAAAGCCCCCTGGGAGGCAAATCAAATGGGCGGCATCTGCTCTAGCTGCCTTAATAAATGAAGTGGAGATCATCAGTTGAGATGCTCCATGTCAGCCCGACCTCCATATGCACAGCCATGTACCTACACGCATGTATGGGAACACACACGCATGCACACATATTGCACACGCATGCATGGCAAATAAACACGAAGTGACATATTCTCATCATAGTTCTCATCTCTAGACTGCATTAACTTTTCTTTCATTTTTACTTACAGCCTCCCTTAATATTCCTAAGAATAAAGATCACCATCCGCTACATTTCTTCTAATATGTAAGGGGGGGGGAGAGGAAGAAGAAAAACTAAGTTCCAGGTTAATTTAAACAAATAAGCATGAGGAACATCAAAAGGAAACACAGATGAGAGGCTGCCATAGAGCGTCAGTACGCTGTCATCCGTCGGCTGCAACTTGTGTTTCCAGCACGTTCATTTCATCGTCCTTCCATGCTCCTTCTTATCCTCAGCTGGCAAATCAATATTGTATTAGCCCGCACTCTCCAGGGAAGCAGAGCCGATGGACTGTCGGTAGATAAATAGGAGGAGACTTTTCGGAAGAGGCTTCGCTGATTAGGGAAGGGAAGAAGCCCCAGCGTTTGCCACTGGTAGAGTGAGAGGCGGGAAAGCCAGCAGGTGATTCAGTCTGGGGGCTGAGAAGGGCTGGGACGCTGGAGTCTGAAGGTGCACACTGTACAAATACCCTGCTGGAAGGCAGGAGAGATGGCTGGCTGCCCAGCCGAGGACAGACGGCAACTTGCCCCTCCCCTTCCTTACCTTCTGTTCTGCTGGCTCTCAGCTTGATGGTCACCTATATGGGTGAGGAGATCCCTGTCTGTCAGTGCCCTCCTTCAGCTCTAGCATCTTCTAGAAGCTCCCTCGAGGGTGGGCACAGCTGGAGGTGTTTGCCAGCCATCACTGGCCAGCCCACAGGAGATTATCCTTCATGGCTGTTTCAGTCGCCTTCCCCTGTCCGAGGGCACCGAGCTTTCCTCTGCCGTGTGCTACAAGTTGTTTTTTTAAAATTAATTTGTCTTAGTATTTCTATTGCTGTGACAAAACACCATGCCCAAAAGCAACTTGGGGAGGAAAGGATATATTTGGCTTACACTTCCAAATTGCTGTTCATCAGTGAAGGCACTCAAAGACAGGAACTCAAACAGGGTAAGATCCTGGAGGCAGGAGCCGATGTAGAGGGCATGGAGGGATGCTGCTTACTGGGTTGTTGCCCTGGCTTGTTCAGCTTGTTTTCTTATAGAACCCAGGGCCAGCAGCCCGGGGATGGCCCCACTCACCATGGCCTGGGCCCTCCCTCATTGATCACTAATTGAGATGACTTACAGCTGGATCTCTTGGAGGCATTTCCTCAGCCCAGGCTCCTTCCTCTCTGATGAGTCTAGCTTGTGTCAAGTTGACACACAAAACCATCCAGTATAGTTTATGTCTTAGTAACTTTTCTATATGGATACATAAGAGTAGGAAAAAGGCTAGACAAAAAGTAAGTGTCTCAAAGAAAGGGTAATCTTTCTTTTGCATATCTATGCTTTCTACATTCTGTAGAGTTGAAATGTATCACGTCCATTTAAAATGGTTGTCATCATTAGAACAACATACAATTAATTCTGATGGTATTATTTGAAGGCATTTGATGAGTCTGTGAGAACCAAATTCAAATACATTTTTTTACTCGGCAACTTTCTGTGTAAGAAAATGGGTGTTGTCTCTGTACTTAACATATAATTAATTCCCGCAGTGATGGCCCATGCCTGTACCTCCTTGAATTTATTAATTGCTAGTATTTCTAGCCATAGGACTGCAGACAAGGCTTTTTTTGTTGTTCTCTGGGAGAGATTATTATAAGATATTAAAGATAATGACCCCCAAGCAAGCATTCAAGAAATTAGGCTTAATTAGTTACAGCACTTTCCGGGACATGGGGCCCATTATGCCAGGTTCAGAGTAGGGGAGTAAGCTATCCCTTAGTGTTTGCTACACGACGCCCCTTGCACAGCCAACCCGCCACATCTACAGCAAGCCGGCCACAAACATCCGGCCAGACAGGCAGGCTGCACTGATTGGAACAGGGGATACAAGAGGACAGAGGAGGGTCAGCTTGCATGGCGGGGCCTCTGTTTACATATCTGCTCCCCCGTTCTCTGAATACCTTCTCTTCCCTCCAGCTTCATGAGAGACCTCCTATCTGGATAGTTCTATTCTGCTTGTAGAACAATAACGCAAAGACACTCTTTATAGTGGGCCTGAACCCGGACCACGATAATAACAAAACCTGGTCCTTACCCTAGGCACATTTACTTGGGTTCTGTTTAAAGTCTGTCCAGGTATACTGCCTGTATACTGACTGTTAGAGGTCTGGGGAGAGGCTGCCAATCTTACCAATCCGTCCACCCCTGTGCCAGCCAGCCATCTCCCACACGGGTGCTAGGGTGCAGCTCCACACCACCACACCCACGCCTTCATGGGTGCTGCCGGTCTTTCAAAACAAACTCCATTCCCATTGAGACAGCTCCCCACTGCGACTTTTTCTTCAACGGATTCTGGGGATCCACTCAGTCTTTGTGCATCAAGCAAATCTGACGAGGCTGCCCTCAGATTCCTTACTCCTTCCTCTGTTGTGGGGCTCAGGTTCACAAACCGCCAGCGGTCACCTCTGTCCTCTCCCTAAACTCTCCTGCCCATCTTCCTCTTATGATTTCGTTCTGTCTTGTGACTCTGAACACCTGTGTGTGGATGATTCCTCCAGTGCCCTGGAGTCAGGGCACGATTGGCTCCGGCCACTCACAAAGCTCCGTTTAGATGGACTTGGGGAATTTAACCTCTGTCCCTTCACGTGCACCATGACACTTAAGAATACACACGGGCTGGCTTTGGTTTATCTAGCTTTCCCAATCCAGTGTTCTGTCATCATAGCCCTACAACCAGCTAAAGAAGTCTGGTTTCTTAGAAGTACATTTTATTCATATTTTGAGAGTTTCATCTATGT